AAAAAATTAGTTAGAAGAATAAGCACCACTTCTAATAAGACAAACATATTTTATCAAATAAAGTGATTACGTACAGAACATATCTGGAATAAAATAAAAAATAGTAAATAAATTAGAATTATGAAATATTTTTCCTAACCTAACCTTTCCAAACTTTGATAGATATCAGATATACTTTTAATCATTTTTTTTGATGGGCAAAAATTCAACAAAGATACTTCGACTGTGACATCAATAAGATTGAGTTCACACACACACACACTTACCCAATTTATATAAAACTACCGTAGTAGCTACATACGGAGTATTCTTCCGTACATCAAGACGTAATAGGAGAAGCATAAAATAAACAAAATTCATTCAATTTATACTAAAAGTGAGCTTTTGGTGTTCAGTGTGTAACAGTACAGCTGCAGTCTGTGTAGGAAGTAGGAACCTAACCTAGCCTACATATAAATATAGTATACATTTATGAAATTACATTTAGCATATAAACACAAGTAACCAGGAATTAACATATAAGGTATGATATTTTTTTTTACATGCAAGTAGGGCGTTAATACGTAATATATTTTATATATTTCATTTTTACACTCGTACAGGAATTTCCATCTGCCGTTTTCATTATTTTTACATACGTTTGTCATTCTTTAATTCGCACTCCCCCGTTATACATTTATAACATTTATACATTTTACTCTCAACATTCTTACTAAATTATTGTTTTATTTAATTATTTTATAAAAACACAAAATTACACTATATCATTACACTCTCTGTTATAATGAGTAATGACTAATGATTATTGATTTTTCATTTGCGGAATATGCTTGGTAATCGCAGAAATATATTAAACACATAATATAGCACCATTTTCTAGACATAATATGAATTTCAAAATATTTTGGCCTTGTTTTTAGACGTCTATATTACTCAATTTGACATTTTTGAAGTTCAATGAAAATCATTTTTCGAATTTTTGTATTATTATACACATTCTGTTTCTTGGTAAAAATATATATTGGCAATAATTACACTAATTAAATTAATTTATACGATATTATATTAATTAATACATTTCTCATCAATAGTAATGTTGTTACATGATATAACAAATATAAAAGATACATTATTGAAAACATTTTTTTTTTCATGAGCGTTTGAACTTCAAGTTTTAAAGAATCACGAATATTTCAAAATTATACATTTAGTATAAGGGTTTTTTCTAAGTCATGTTAACAGTACTTTAAAATTGTCAAAAATACATAGAAACAATTTTTTTATAGTCCTTTGAGGTTAAAGTTTTGATGAAATTGGGTATATTATCAATGATGAATAACTTTTTTGTTATTACACGTATTTTGTTGTTTCACAAAAATAATGAAATATGAATTTTTTATTACGTAGGTATATTATTTATTAAGACCTACCGTGAGCCCAACATGGGTGGTTTTTTTATTTGTATTTATGTGAATATGTTTCACTTTCACTCCATCGGTGCGTAATTTTACTACAACTTTTCTAGGTAGGAATACAGCCAATTGTGGTGTATTTAAAGCTGCGCCAGTCCGGGTACAACATTTAATGTGTCGCTGCTTCAGAATATAAAATATTTGTGACTCAGATCATTTAAAACTGTAAGATTCATTTAACTTTAAAATATAGTAGGAACAATACTGTCATAATAATATATTATTTTCTAGATAGTGATTTAGAACCGTAAAAGTTCTTAAGAAATGACTAGTCTATCACACACCTTAAAGGCTGTCAGGTGCTTAGTGTTGTACTATCGCAGTCATTCCCCACAAACATGAATGTTGAAAATAAGGTTTCATAGTAAAAAACTCTTAATTAATATACACCACAATTAAGCAAACATCTTTTACAAAATAAAACGAATTACGTGCATAGATAATCTGGAATTAAGTAAAAATTGTATTTATATTAAAATATTTTGATTAATCTTTTTATGGAAAAATATCATAAAATTAATTAATAAATACTAAAATATATAATGCTCAAACATGACACTCTGTCCTTGAAAATTAATATATTATGTCTATGAGAAACCCTGTTATTGTTTATAAACATGGCAACCATGATTTAACCTCAACTGGTCAAGAACCCAATGGAAACCAATCATAAACAAAAAAAATATTTTACTAAATTCTACTATTACCATTATACCCTGTAACCAAGGTAAACATAGTTTAAGCTTCCACAGTGATTTTTAAGATCTCTATTATACGACATCATTAAAATGTGTATTTCAGAAAACCATTATTATTGCACATTCAGATCATTAGAATTATTCTAAATTTCAAGTTCGTACTTTATGTAGTATTCAGAAGTTGTTATGAGTGATTGAGTGAGTGTTATTTGGCTTACTTATTATGTGAATTAAATATATATCGGAATTATACTGTGAATTTCCTAGGGAGTATTCGATTGCCCACTCTAAATATAAACAGTTGTGAGAGGTTGTAGATTCAAAAACTGATTTTAAAAATAGAATAATAATAATAAAAATTCAAATTGTAATGGATTTCTTGCTATGAAGGAAAACTTTGTAAGAATAAAAAAATATAATAATAAAACTGGTTACGTACAAAAATATTCTGGAAAAAAAAAGAATCGAAAATAATTTAAAATATTTATAAATAATAAGTTCCATAGATTTCACTGATACTTTTTACCGAGGTAGAACATTGCCACAAACAAAATAATTTTTAAAAAAACTAAAATACATGAACACTGAATGATGAAACTTCATCACATGGAACTCTGGCCATGATAATTAATATATTATGTTCACTGGGATACCGTGCTCTTATTGCTACAATTACTTGAACCTGATAAACTATGAAGTTTTTTCACTTCATGATTTGCATATCAAGGCATGGCAAATTGACAATGTTTTTTAACACTTCAAGTTAAGTTTAAGTTAATACCTACTTTTCTTTTTTTCTAAACTTTTAAGAAATACAAGTTAAGTGGGAAATAAATACAGCTTAACTTAGTTAAAAATAAGTTACTTCTCTCATTAAAAATAAAAAAAATAATAGCTTTTTTAAAACTAACATGTATTGTGGTAATTTAATAAAGGTCTTGCAGTTTTAAATCCACCTTAATACATTAATCAAGGAGGAAATCCAACAAAAAAATTACTCTTAAAATTCTGTATCAGTTTACCTAATATTCAACAATACTCTACTAAATTGGATTGAATGAACTAATTATTAAAATATAAATAATACCCTACCTACATAAACTACCATTATATAAAATATTATTCAATTTTGTTGTAATTTTACGAATGAATAAAAATATAATAATAGGTACTTAGTAGCTATTAATGAGTATAGAAATCCACATATGATAATGAGCAAAAGTTATATTTATATTTTCACAATGATGTGCTATCCTATAAAGTTTCTGGTTTGTAATATGATCTGTGAGTATACAATATTATTATTATATTTATCATTCTTTCAAATTATTATTAATAAGTTTATTAGTTACTATATTTACAAACAATATTTGATGAATCCGATGGTTATTATATAATTTTATGAGAAATACATTTTTGCAAAAAAACCATGTACTTAAATCTGTGATTTTAGGAAAAAAATAACTAAAGAAGATCACAAAATGAATTAATTCATAAGTTACTTCTTGAGGTGGAAAAGAAATTGACTCGTTAAGTTTTTGACTCTATAGGTAGTAAACTTTATTTTTGTTCATCACAAAAGAATATAACACATTGGCTGCCCCTGAATACTAATGTATTATGTCTGTGAGAACAATTAATGTTCATGTTAATGAACGTGAAAATGCTTTTACCTCATTTGGCCGAGTAACCATTGACAAATGACAACCATTTATAAACAAAAAGAAACCTTTTAGTTTCTTAACTCTAACTAAATAATCTAAAAGCTAATTCATCCACTCTTATAGCACATCTAGATCATTAGATTATCCACTACTTTTAATTTCAAGTTTATGACTTAGGGAGTTTATGAATAGTAGCGATGAGTGATTCAGTGATCAATGAAATTGCCTAATATGTTATAAAAATTTGTAATATCTTATGAGGAATAATAACACATTATTTACTTTATAAACACTTTACTTTATTTAACTTTCTATAACATTTTAACATTAGAGTCGAGAGCGCACATGGTTAGTCGCTTGCTCAACACATACAAAACTATTACAATATAACAATATAACATTTATTACTTATTAGGTTATGTTATCATATTATACATTATCATATCACGTTATCACAATCCTTATCCCTAGTTATAACATACACATCAATACATAATTAATACATAATACATTTTTTTTTTTTTACATTATACAAAATTAACAAAATCATCTTAACCTAAATAATTATATAACAACAATTATATGTTCAACCTATCTGGTTTTTTTCTCTTCCTTTTAGATCTCTTAGGTACAGAGACTTCTACTTCCTCTCCTAAACTAACATTTATGTTCTCTTTAACCTTTTTATTTATTTCACTTCCTTCTATTTCAATATTTTTTTTATCAATAGTTTCTTCTTTTGCTTTAATAATTTCTTTTTCCTTCAATACCGTTTGTTCTTCTCCTTTCTCCTTTTCTACTGTTTCAATACCATTTTCCTTAATCTTACCCACTTCAATTAGTTGGTCAATGTGCCTTCTCCAAATTACATTTTCTTTTTCCAATCTAACTATATATATCCTCTCACCTAAAACTTCCTCGATTGTTCCTTTCTTCCACTCTTTTTTATTTGGGTTTGAATAATCTCTAGCATAAACTATGTCTCCTTCTTTAAAATATACTTTTCTAAATCTTTTTATGTACTTATTTTTTTCTTTAGGAATGCATAATTGATCTAACCTAGTTTTAATTTTCCTTCCAAACATTCTATAACTTGGTGACTCGCCAGTTATCCAGTGTGGTGTATTTCTATATGTTAGCAGATATCTTTGGATTAGTGTATTTAACTAAACATTTTTATTCTTTTTATCTTTTACCGCCTTTAATATACCATTTTTTAAAGACTTAACAGCATTTTCAGCCGATCCATTCGTAGCTGGATGATAAGGAGGGGACGTCTCAAATCTGATCATATTATTTTTACAAAATTGTATAAACTCTTCTGATCTAAATTGCGGTCCATTGTCTGACACAATTTTGTTTGGTAACCCAAACCTGGCAAATATTTCCCTTAATTTTTCAATAACCGAACCACTATTCATTATTTTCATTTCAGCTACTTCTGGCCATTTTGTAAATATGTCTGTCATTATTAAATAATTTTTTCCTTGTAAATATAGAAAATCTATGTGTACTCTATCCATTGGACAACTCACTTCCTTCCACTTTTTTGGTTCAGCTAAAATTGGTTCTGATCTACTTTGTAAACAAGCATCACAATTTTGCACCCAATTTTCTATATCTTTATCTAATCCAGGCCACCACATGTATGATCTACACAATGTCTTCATTTTGGACATACCCATGTGTGTTGAATGTACTTCTTTCAATAAATCTTTCCTCAGACTTTTAGGAATTAATATTCTATATCCTCACATTAATATATCTTTATCCACACAAATTTCTTCCTTTCTAATTGCATAAGGTTTCAGTTCCTCACTTACTTTAATCGGCCAACCTTCATTCAAATATTTAATAACTAAACTAAACTCCTCATCTTTCTTAGTTTCCACTCTAAGTATCTCATAATCCATAGGCATAGTATTTTCCATAAAATCAACATAGTCAGTTTCATTTATTTGCGTTTGTACCTCCTCTTCATCAGGTAATCTCGAAAGTTCATCTGCCACTTTATTATCATTACCCTTAATATGTAATACTTGATAATCAAACTCAGATAAATATAATGCCCATCTTTGAATTCTCCCAGAGGTCATAACAGGAATACCTTTATTTTCACCATACAAAGCTAACAGAGGTTTATGGTCAGTCTCTAAGAAAAATTTTCTGCCCAAAAGATATTGAGAAAATTTTTTTACACCCCAGAAAACCGCTAAAGCTTCTTTTTGTATTACTGAGTATTTTTTTTCAGCTACGGTTAGGATTCTTGATGCATACCCTACTGGTCGCTTTTCTCCATTTTCAAAAATATGCATTAATACTGCTCCTATACCATACTCCGATGCATCGCAAGACAATACAACACTTAACTTTGGATTGTAATGGACCAATAATGATTCTGATGCCATTGCTTGCTTTGTCTTATTAAATTCCTTTCTATATTCATTTGTCCATACAAACTTCACTTCTTTTTTTAACAAATTGTAAATAGGACCTAATAAGGTTGATATATTTGGTATAAACTTAGCATAGTAGTTCACCATACCTGTAAATGCTTTTACTTCAGTGACACTCCTAGGCTCTACTGCATTAAGCATCGCTTTAACTTTATTTTTATCCCTTTCAATACCTTCTGATCCAATTATATGTCCTAGGTAATTTATTTTTGGTTGAAAAAAACTACATTTTTTTTTGTTTAATCTAAACCCAGCATTTTGCAACCTTTTAAACACTTCTCTTAGGTTATCTAAGTGCTCCTGTTCACTACTACCAGTCACAATTATGTCATCTAAAAAATTTTTAACACCTTTTGTTCCTAACAGCACTTTTTCAATAACACTCTGAAATTTTGAACAAGCTGGTTTGGTACCGAAAGGTAATCTTTTAACTATATAAATACCTTTACTTGTACTCCAAGCTAATAGTTTTTGTGTACTTTCACATAATTCTAATTGGTTATAAGCATTCAAAAAATCTAATTTAGAGAATGTTTTACCTCCTTGTAATGCCACAAATACCTCTTCTACTCTTGGTAATGGGTGGTTAATATCTACCAAATATTTATTAACAGTAGTTTTATAATCTGCACATAAACGAATAGATCCATCTGGTTTAATAACCGGTACGAGCGGAGTACCCCATTCACTGGTCTCAACTTTCTGTATTATCTCTTCTCTTTCTAATCTATCCAACTCATCCTCAACTTTTTTCTTAAAAGCAAAAGGTATTGGTCTCGGTTTACAAAATATAGGTGTACATTCCTCTTTAACTTTTAACGTCACTTTTTCATATTTATATTTACCAATTTTTTCCTCAAACAATTCTTCAAATTCATTTATTAACAATTCTAACTTATTATTCTTATTTGTGCTTTCTACTTCAATTTTTGAAACACCCCTAATCGTTATTCCTAATTTGTTCATTAAATCCCTGCCTACCAGAGCTCTATGTCCTTTTTTAACTACTAATAATTTACAATATAGTTCTCTTTCACCATACATAAGTTTAACTTCAATCTCTCCCGTTGGTTTAATAATTGACCCATCATAAGTTCTTAGCTTTAAAATAGTAGGATTAATGTATATATGAGGTAACTTCTCTTTTACAATTTCTTCAGGTAATATTGAAATTCCTGCACCTGAATCGACTTCCATTTCAATTAATGCATTTTCAACTTTTACCATTATCATTACAGGACTTAACCCGTAGTTCTTTTCACTTTTAACCTCAACTTGAAACATTTCCATTACTTCATTTTCCTCAACTTCAATAAAATGATTTTTAACTGTTTTACACTCTTTTGCCAAATGCCCAACTGTATTACAATTTTTACATTTATATTGTTTATACTTACATTCTGCAAATTTGTGATTTGTAAGACCACATACATAACAAGCCTTATCATAGTTTTTCTTCGAAGTCTTCTCACCTCCCATCGCTGTTGATTGCTTCTTCGGTGGACCATAACTATTTTTCTTCTTAGCTCCTTCCCTGCTTTTTCCAATCGAATGTACTTCAATGTTCGTTGTTTTGATTGCAGCTTCTTTCTTCATTGCCATTTCAACCAGATCACTTAAATCCCTGGTCGTTTCTTCTTCATACAAACGATCTTTGATCGGACCGTCCTTCATCCCCGTAGTGAACTTATCTTTCAGTACCGGAATCAAACTTGATCCAAAACTACATTGTGCTGCAAAATTCTTCATCTTTGCATACCAATCTGTTACAGACTCATTAGCATTCTGTCTTATATTGTAAAATTCCTCTCTTTTTCTATAAACTGATACTTTTTTAGCAAACTGCCTAGTCAGTACTGTACATAATTGCTCATATGTCCTATCAGCTGGCTTAATCGGATCACATAGATCCTTAAGCATCTTATATGCTTGTTCGCCCATGCATGTTATTAGTAAAGGTACCTTACGTTCTTCAGGAATTCCGTTTGCCAAAAAAAATTGCTCCATCCGCTCCTGGTACACATTCCAGTCGCCATCGATTCTGAACTCAGCCAAAGTCCCCATAGTACCATACGTTTGGACTTTCTGTACATTTGAACCTTCCTTTCCGCCTTGGGCGTTCTTATTGTTCTGGCCGTTCTTCATCGTTGAATGTTTTTTATTTTTTTTTTTTATCCTTTTTGATCGCGTTCACATTTATTTTTTTTGCCTCGTCGCCATTGTAATATCTTATGAGGAATAATAACACAGTATTTACTTTATAAACACTTTACTTTATTTAACTTTCTATAACATTTAAACATTAGAGTCGAGAGCGCACATGGTTAGTCGCTTGCTCAACACATACAAAACTATTACAATATAACAATATAACATTTATTACTTATTAGGTTATGTTATCATATACATTATCATATCACGTTATCACATAAGTTGTAACAATTATTATCATAATTAACATAACATTAAACTTCAGACATTAAAAATACAAATCTGTAGGAACTTCATTTTCATCGTGGTATAAGATAAAACATTTGTTTCTTTTTGTGAAGCACAAGTGGACTTTACATTTTTTATAAAACACATGGCTGCGATGATTGCATCCTTCATACTTGCAACGGACTACACTATCTAAGTTGTCAAAATCAGGAAGATGACCTACATTATCATGCCTCACTTCATTAAATGGTCGCTGGTCAATTCTTTTAATAATTTTTTTTTTGCATTTCTGGAGTCAGTGATGATGATGGCGATGGTGATAATGAAACTGGACTATTTCTTGGTCTTCCTTATTTCCTTATAACAATATTTTCAACCAAAATAAGAGTTTCAGCTAATCGCTCTTTGAAATGCAGTAAATCCATAATATTTTTGTTAACAATATTCGAATGCTTACAATCCATTTTATATTCAAGCCAAAACTGTTTACGCATGCCATATCAAAGGCATGGTAACCATTTTGTGGGTGGGGGGGGGAAATATTTTCTTACATAATATGTAAGGTATATAAGCTTTATTCTACTAAATTTACAAAACAAGATTTAATTTTCTTGATGACTGTGGCATCAATTACTTCATCGGGTTTTACTAGTATTGTCCTATGATCGAACAAACAATTGCCCGATGGCAAGCCCATTCAGTTGCTTCTAGGCATAGGTGTAAATATATACACAGGTGTAGCAATATATGCACAGGTGTTAATATAATCACAATTTACAGATATAAGTTGTAATAACGTGTTTATTGTAGAAACGGTACAAGTAAAACTGATTGTCGTGCGAGGCATCCACGTCGCGTGTGGTAGGACATCCCCCTACCATGTATATATGTAAACATTAATTAATACGTAACACCTCTTTCCTTAAAAATAAAATTTGATTTTGTTATATAAATATTTTGATAGTTGATTTTGTACAATTCTAAACGTTTCAATTTATGATTGAAACTTACAATTTATCCTAATAATTATATAATCATAACAATGGTACTTAATATATTATATATGTTTCATTATAAGCTATAAACATTAAATATTTATAATTATTATTTTTATTTGTAAATGCGTTAACTTATTCATTATTTATAATCGGAAGGAGAATAACGTCGAGGGGTTTTCTTACCCTGGAGTGTCTGGGAGTTGTTTGTGTATTAAATATTAATCGATGAGATATCATGAGTTGGTTCCGAATAAGATTTAGTAGAATCATTAGTAGGTATAATATGTCGGTTCTGTCCCGATTTTGACAATTACAGGGAGATTAACAAACATTTGTCCTTGAACGATCAGATTTGTGGGTGCTTTCTATCCCAGTTTTTTAATTTTTACTAATACCGGGAGATTTAAAAACGATTGTCAGTTTCACAAGCAATGATTATTATTATTTGTGGCCCATACAAACTAGTAAAAACAAAAATAATACAAACAAATTGTTATTATTTATAAGATTCAATCATTTTATCGTTGTTACTCATAAACTTATGCATTATTAAATGCCATTATTATTGTATTGTCTGCTTTATCTTTTTCGTTCAGCATAGTTTTTGAGTTAAACGTGGTTGTTTTACATCTATTTTAAAAACAAATTAATGGTTGCATATTATAATTGCATAATATATTTTCATATTATCATACATATTTAATAAAATATACTAGATGACACAATTGTGGGTCAGTTAAATATTTTACGTACTAGCTGGATATTATTAGTATCGAC